ACCACTTGTAAATATGATGTAAGCAATATCATTAGGTGTCACTGTAATACTTGATAGCCGATCAACATCACCATCGCTCATTACATCATTATTAGCGAATCTTGAATGAATATCAATCGTAAGAGTATCATCGCTAAACTCTGTTTTCGTTAACCAATGAACAAGTACAAGACGACTTTGAGTTTGTTGTACAAGTGCATTTAAACGATGTTGTGGATCTCGAGGTGATAATGGACAATAGACACCACCAGCCATTTCAATTCCCATAATACCAATCACCTAATCAAAATCAATCTCAAACTCATATTAATTGTTACTCATCTTAATCAACTTACCATTGATAAACTTCTCTCAACACACTGACACACGATTTCACCTGGAGAGATATGATATTCATTAAGAAGAGTTAAAGATAAGGTTTGAACATAATACAACAGTTCACAATATGTCAATAATTGTTCATCTAGTTCAACAGCTAGTTTTTGTGGATGTTTCATTACTTGATATACAAATTCATGGTGAATACAAGTGGAAGCAGATGGAAATGATATTTGTGTATTATTCATTGATTGCATTAGATATTGCTCATTTGATAATGTTATCGGTAATTCATGAATAGGTTTGTTTGTTTTACTATTAAAAGATGTGAATTGTTGATGTAACATTGCCTGTAATCTTTGTGCAATTATACAGATTGTTTCAGCATTGAATAAATCAACGGAAGCATTAACGGTACATGAGAATTTATTTAGATTGAGATCATGTTGAAAACTAAGAATAAAATCAAATTTACTCATGATTTCATCTTCACTAATAGTAATTGAATAAGGTAGTAAAGAAAATCGACTATCACCGATCATTATTTCATTCTTCTCATCTTTTGTCGTAGATGATACAAAGTCAAATGATGTATCAAGAAATACAGGAGTTGATATATTTGGATGTTGATTGAGAATATGTTGAAGAGGAAAATAAGAATACTTCATACAGTTTATCATATTATCTTGAACATGCTTAGTGACTTTGTGAAATGATAAATGAGGATCTAGTTGACATCGCAAAGGTATAGCATTCACAAACATTCCAATGATAGATCCAAGTTCATCTCTATATCGATCATCTGTATTTATTCCAATGCATAAATCTTTTTCTCCATTTGTTAATTTGAATAAAAACACATAATAAGTAGCAAGTGCAAGATGCTCCAGTGAAATGTTATTTGATGATGCATGAATAAGAAAGTCATGTGATAGATCTTGACCAAAATCAAAAGAAATAGATGTTCCACGACCAGTTCGGTGTTCATTTGAGAGACGATATCGATCAAATGGCAATGATAATGGCTGATCGAGTTTACAATCTTGAAGAGCATCAAGCCAAAACATACTTGCACCAGTCATTGGCATTTGTTGCTCAATAACAGCATCTATTATATAATTAAAGAAAAGAATGTATTAGGAAAGAGTGAAGTAGAAGTAGTATTTATATTTACAATCGAGATAACGAAGATTAGTGTTGTTGTCATATAATAATTGGCCTGTTGTATATGCTTGATTAAGATCATGATGAAAAACTTTCATTGATGGAAAGTCAAATAGAGCATGATGAAAGTTGAAAATAAGTATATCTTTGTGAGAAAGAAGATGATTTGAAGAGATTTGTTTGTAATAAATAATATGACATCGAAAGACAAGACCTTGAGCAAGATCAAAAAGATGAGGATTACGTTTTTCATCATGCATAATCTCAGTGAGTTGTTTATCTGTTTCATGAGTACTTTCGATAACTGAAAGCATTTGTTTATGATCATTGTTCAGATCAATGATTCGTTGCATGATTTGGTTCTTTTCTGCGTTGAAGACAAGCGATGTACGAAGTGATTGATGTTTTAAGACAATTAGTTGGAGAGCATGAAGTAATCGTTCTATTGATAAAGTATGATCTGGTTGCAGACGATAAACAAAAGGCATATTATAGATTGCTACTTGAGGTTTATCAGGATCGAATCGAATTCTTTCGTCAAGCCATATACGAGCTTGTGCATAGGAAGCTGGTGCTGGAACAACGAAACTTTAGTATTAATAGTTTGTTTATTTTGATTTAATAAATAGAAACTTAAGATTTTGGGAATTTGAAATTACTTATTATAAATATGAGGTATACATTGAGTAGTATATTATTTTGCTATCTAAATTGATTACAGTCTTAGATGATAATCATATTAGAAGGTTTTTGTATAATTATTTTTCTCAATGTGAAGGTGTATAGATCGCAGCAATCTTACACAAGATGGAATAGTTTTTTGGTCTAGACGCTGCCGAAACGAAACTTTAAGGAAGCTGAAAAGTTAGTTTCAATCTATCTCAGATTCGAATAGAGATGTCACTACTATATTACTATAATTGTTTTCGTCTAATTTAGCAAATGGATTCAATTTTTAACTTTTACGAACGAAGAAAGATTTTCTATTAGTGTAGGCTTAGATCCGCCAAACACTTCAAGATCAGTATTAAACCAAAAGGCGCCTGAAAAATATGACGGCTACAAACATTCCACGATGAGCTTTGATCAGTTTCGAGTGGATAGTGCCGCTACTAATTATTACTCTCCATAAATAGGGAAATGTTTAATTGTATTATTTCGACTTAGTCTTTGTAAATCATGAAAACTAAGTTTAGTCCCTCTATGTCTCAGAGAAAAAGTTTTTGAATTTAGATTATGTATTCTACAATTTAGATGTTGAAAATATTAAACAATATAGACTATGTCCTGTTATGTTTGATTAATTTTACTGAATTCATTGTTTTGCTCAGTATTTGACGAATAAGATTTCCGGAAAGATTATTGTGAGAAGCTTTATTATATCAATATGAATTTCATTGTTATACATACCTTCATTTGCAATAGCCGGTAATCTGTGAAAGATTACGTTATGTATTTCTTCGATTTCTTCGGGTAAAATAAGGGATAAGTTGTTGATGGATATACTGCATTGATTATAGATTGGCACGCCAACAATCGAAGAACAAAATAGTTGTCTAAGTATATGCTGAAAGCGGGTTGCAAGTTTATTGACAATAGCTTGATTTTGAAATATTTCAACTGCACAATCAATAACACATTCTGTAGTTCGCGTATGATGTTCATGTGCTATTGTTACACTCATATCGAATGTAGATAATCCATTACCGCGACTTCGATCTCGATCATAATATGCACCAATAACTGAATCTTTATCTACAGTTAACTCCATTGTAGATTTTTGTGTCACAGATGACATTAAAGAGTCATATTGAAAGAATGTCGATGGCAATCGCTGATGTTTTTGTTTATCGTGTAGACCAATGATCTCTTGGTATGGTAGAGACGCATGTTCCAAAATATCAGTACTTAGTTGTTGCACTTTTCGCACGAAATGATTAAATGATTTATTTGGCTCAATTTGTATTCGATATGGTAGAATATTAACAAACATGCCGATCATTTCTTTTGTTTCTTGATTAAAACGATTAGCTACAACACTTGCTACGCATAAGTCCTCTTCGTTATTGAGTAACTTGAATAAGAACGCATAGAAGGAGGCAAATGTCAGCGAAAACATCGTAATGTTATTGGATGAAGCAAACATCATCATGGCATCGACAACTTGTTGATCAACGACAAATACAGTCGAATAACCACGACCAGAACGAGTTTGATCATGTTTAATTTCGGTAGGCACCAAGCTTCGTATTCGATCCCAATCATAACCCTGCATAAGATCGAACCAAAATCGACGTGCCTTGTTCATCTGTGAATTGGGATTTGCATCCGCTAGAAGTTCCTGCTCATATTGAGCAAAGTCTATATATTGTTGAATCAATAATGTTGATCGATGTTGTGCGTCAGTCCAACATGCGCGCTCAAATGCTTTAACGAATGATTTGCTTGAGGTGAGATCAAATGCTATGTGATGGATAGTAAAAATAATGAGGTCATTTTCATGCAATAAATGACCATGGCTTTTATCACCTCGCTCCACTACATGACATTTTACAACTCTTCCGTTCTCCACGTCAAAATGTTTCCTAATGGATTCAGCCGTAAGTAGATCATCCAGTTGTTCCACTGTCGATATTCCTCGTGAATGTTGGAATAAGTAAATATCATCGGCAATAGGTTGAATATATTGTTCAATCTGATTATTTCCTGGATTAAAACGAACAGCAGTACGGAGAATCGTATACCGTTCAATTACTGAACGTAAGGCCGAGCTTACACGTTCAATTGAGAGTGAGCCTTGTTTGATTATTAATGGAACTACAATATTGTAGACAGATAAATCGGAATCATGAAAGTATAGCTGGTCATGAAACCAAATTCTTTGTTGACCAAACGATGCTATAGCTTCTGTTCGACCCGAAATCATAAGCCGCTGTTCTTTCTGCACAATCGATCCTTTTGTTGCTTTTGCTGCTACTTTTGTACGTGAAAACATTTTTAACGAATAGATCGAATAATATCGATTGATTAGTTATGTTAAATAGGTAATATATGAAAATCTTAAAAAAATATAAAAAGAAGACGAACAAAACAAAATCTGTACTTTAAGATTTGAAATAAAACTTCCAATTAATTAAATTCTTTTTCAGTTTATTAACTAGAAAAATAAAACTTGAATGTCCGTTATTTGACTCGCCAACATTTTATTTATAATATTCTTGTGAGTTTATTGGTAGTATTCTTCCTGATGATGTATGATAAGTCTTGCCGTTTACCATATAATTTGACGAGACTGTCAAACTACTGAAAAATATTCAGAGATTGACTAATGAACGAACATATTTGAGTGCCTTTTCCTTTTCAAAACACATTTAAAAATACTCTCTTGCGCAGGAATCTTGATGAATATCTCTACTATTAATTTCCTGGCTACTTTCATTTACATTTGAAAACAGGAGACGATCAAAAAATTTTATGCTTGTTGATTGTTGTTGTGATAACTGACTGTAGGCGTAGGCAACGGCATGGATGAATGAGAGACACTCTAACTCTCACTCTCATCTAATATCCTCAAATCTACATTTAATTTTCTCATTTATAACGGTAACCGAAAAAGTCTATCTTTCTCTTGTTACAGAAAAACGAACTTTTAAGAGTAAGAAAAAATCGCTTTGGGAATCGACACTTATCACAGTTTTAAATAATATTCTTTTCAGTCAGTGTATACAGGCTTGATATCATTGTCACATACGATTCACTAAATCTCCAAGCACTGAAAATGCTCATTGGATTTAATCTCCGAGGCAAAACTGATCATTTCGATCCAAACCTGCGTTCGACCAACACTAAACAATTCGAGTAAACGAGATTTGCACGAAGGAAAAACAGGACGTTCTTATTCCGATGTAAGGTGTAACTGAGACTTGACGTTTCACTTTTAACCCCATGATAAATAAAGACGCAAACAAATTATTTTCCTTTATAATAAACCTTCTTAGTGAAGGAAAGAAATCTGCTTCTGACTCAAAAAATCAAACTTCAAAATTTCAAGAAGTAATCATAGATTCAGATTTCTCATCCTCGAAAATAGTGATCATATTCTATTATAAATATTATTTTTGTCCATTGACTGTGACTGTTATCTAATACGCTTGATTTCAATATAATAATAACAAACTGAAGAAGTACTATTACTACCATTCTTACTATTCATTTTCACTATACTACATGAGACATTATCATACAACAGGTATATATAACATACAGTGACTTAGGTATATACTAGTACCACTAGTTACGTATATATTACCTGATCTATGGTTTATTATATCATCGACAGTTTCCTTTGCTCGAGTAGATTACAAACATATAGTTATAATACCCTTTACACAAATATACATCGAATTGCTAACAGATGTAGTGATTTTCTATCATAATGAATTCACTCAAAATTCGACTCATGCTTATGTCAAAGGCAGTAGAACTCTATGATTATAATCTATTCTAATAGAGGAAGTTGTCAGTGATATGCTAAACCATAGATTAGCTAATATATATATATATATATATCCAGTAAACTAATACTGATATATATGTCTAACGTACAGAAAAATAAACAGTGTTCATGACAATAATAGGAAAGAAAAACGAATGAAAAAGAGAGTAAAGGACCACATCATATAAGAGTGACATGAGTTACTTATCGATAAGATAGAAAATTCATATTCATCATCATATCATGACGCTTCACAATCATAGAAGAAAAACACATCAAGCCGTTGTGGTATTATATTAAATGATAGGAAAAAAATATGTTATTTTAAGATTGTTAGTATATGAAATGACTAACTAAAGAAAAAAGAATCATAAAACTGTTTCTAGAATAAATATCACACTATAATAAGTAAACATAGAATACTAGACAAGTTGGCAGTTTTTTATTACTAAACAATTATTTTCGTTATTATATTAATGAGCAAATTAATCAATTAAGATAAAAGAAAATATCACAGGGAATAAAACTCACTATTTCAATGTCAATGGATCGAAATGAACTCATTAAAATAGTTGTAAATAGCGATGCACTAGATCCTAAAACCCTAACATAAAGAATCCAGATTTTTGATTTCAAAACTCGTCTAATCTTTGGATCATTGGTAGTCAATTTTCTTGCTCTATTTGGAAAAATATCTTATTTGTACAATATAGGAATAGTTTTCAGTGTCATCAGGCTCAATAAAGAAGGTATAGTTCTTATCTATTGAAGATAGATGTTAACTTCTTTACTCCTATACCCTACAACACATATATTAAAATCATAGTTCTTGTTAAACTTCTTTCCGCTAGTTTATATAAAGGTTCTCAATAGTCGATAATTTTTTTTGCTGTTCGCTGTGATAGAGCTCAAATTTTTCTGTCAAAAATAGGGGTAGGACAGTTCCATATTAGTTCCGTTCTTAGGAACTGTATTAACAGTTCTTTTGAATAGAACTGAACTGAACCAACAGTTCTTTGAATAGAACTGAACTGTACCGATAAGTTCAGTTCCTTTCAAAGAACTGTTGGTTCAGTTCAGTTCCTTTCAGAAGAACTGAACTGATAGTTCTTTTGACCAGTTCATCCGAACTTGGAACTATGAACTGTCCTACCCCTAGTCAAAAATATGTTAGTTAAGCTAAGAAAAAATATTTTCGCGCAAAGTTCTATTTTTTTATAAATAATATTGAAGAATACTAAGTTTTTGTAGATTTTCACTTGTCATTTTTCTACTTTTCAGAATTTAAGTTTCTATAAGTACTTATATAGTGTGATACCTTGTAAGTATTAAAATTAGTAAATAAAAAAAAAGTTCGAACTGACCCGACCATAAATGTTCAGAGAGTAGTAATTGGTAACAAATTTAATTCTAATCATCCAAAAGAATTAATCGAACATCGATTATCATTGAATGATTGTTAAGTTGTCGTATCATTTCACGTGCAATGATTTCTTCTTGTTTGTTGCGATCAGCCACTAACTGATAAGCTCCGCGTGGTTGAATACGACGCATTTGCGAGATCATATTTTGAGCATAAGCAGATGTACTTGTATCTAATATCGTTAACGGTATTTGTATAACATAGATGGTAGCTGATACTGTTTGAATTTGTTGTTTAGATAATTTGTGCATAAGTAGTGCAAAGGACTCGTCAGTATTAGTGATTGCCTGCTCCGTGATATAGAAGAGAATAGAACTATTGTTCTGAGTCGGACGTTGAAGACAAATGATATTCTCTGTACTAGTGTGTACGGACGTATTAGATAATTTGATATTATTTTCATCGATCAGATCAGAGTCCACATCATGTTCTTTAGTAATTGCTGTGGTAACTTGTTGTTGATCGTGGAGCTTATTATATATAATTGTTGCAATTGTTTCAATAGAATACCCTTGAAGAAGATCAGCTAATGGTATATAGATACCAATTTCTTGTCCCAACCAATTGTACAGTGAGATAGCAGCTAATGAATCCATGCCTTGACTCACAAGTGAACGATCAATCAATATACGATCGACACTACCTGCACCTAAGAGGCGTGCTACAGCTTCCTGAGTTCGCTCAATAATAGTTTCCTTTTGGTTCAAGTCAGAATTAGCCGTACCGTCGATTTTCGATGATATAGATGTGTTGCTGAGCTTCATTTCAACATAGCGTTGCTGTGCGATTTGAGTTAACTGGAATGTTGCTAGTTTGTGTCGTCTTTCATACAATGTTTGCCAATTAACCGCAAAAATAATAGGACACGGACAAGTATTCTGATGTTTATGAAAATGTTCTATCAATTCAAATACAATCACTGTTGGTACTAATTCAAAGCCTTGTGTCGTTTGAAAACTTGTTAACCACTCTCGTTGTCTATGAAACATGCCAGCACCACTAACTGCTGGTAAACTGATAGAAAGAGCTGGTAAATTGAGTTTTTGCATACGATAATGAGCAAGAGCATCAAGAAATTGATTACCGGCATTGTAACCGGCAGATGCTAATTCAAGGAGATGATTACGAATTGATGAAAACATAATAAAAAAGTGAAGCGGAGCATGAGTAAGTTGCGTTACTTGATGAAGAATCCAAGCACCGCGAGCCTTTGGTGCAAGAACACGTGTTATATGTTCTTGTGTTAAATTACTGAGCGTACGATCGTCTGCAATAACAGCACTATGAATAATACCTCGAACAGGATAAGAACTTTGATTCAGTCTTACAATAAGATCATGAACTTGTTGAAAATTTGTCACATCTACTTGTACAACATCAACATGAGCATTATATTCGTTTACTGTTCGTTTCAATCGTAACCAATCATCATATTGTGGATTGGAAGGTTGTTCAAGTTCAATTAAGGTTCGACGACTCATAAGTGCTATACGTTTAACACTGCGTTTCTCAATCATCCAACGAGACATTGCCAATCCAAGACCGCCAAAACCACCAGATATTAAAATTGTTCCTTCATTACAAACTTCTGGTGGAAACATTGTATTATCACTTACAACTACCGATTGAGAAAAAAGAAAAAACTAATAATAATTGAAAGGAAAAAAAAAGAAAATTACCTTTTAATAAACTATTCGATTGTTTTTTGTTAATATTTAACGGTTGATCAGACGAACTTATACGAAAAACTGTTTTACCCATAACTTGACCACTATTACATCTTAATAATGCTTGTATTACTTGAGATGGTTCATAAGCAACAGTTGGTTCAACAGCACGCAATTTATGTTGAACAAATAAATCAATTGCTTCTTCTAGCATAATACGAATAAGAGGTGATACATGATCAGCAAGTCCAGCGAAGTCAATCACATGAAAACTACAATCTGATCGTAGTTGAAACATTGATAAATTACTATTATGATAAATATCTCGTTTACCCCATTCAACAAAATGACCATGATATGCTAATAATTTAATTGATTCTTTTAGTAAAATACCTGATAATGAATTAACAATAACATCAACACCTTGTGGAAGAATTCGACGTATATGATTAACAAAAGAAGTATCTCGACTATTAAATACATGTTCAATGCCATAATATTCACGAAGGAAACGTCGTTTTTCTTCAGTTCCAGCTGTAGCAATAATACGAGCACCAATATATTGACAATATTGAATACACATTTGACCTGCAGCACCTGTTGCAGCATGAATAAGAACAGTTTGACCAGTTTGTAAATGAACACGATATTTAAGAGAATAGATAACTGTTAAAATTGGAGTTGGCATACCACATAATTGTTCATCGGTAAGAGGAAATTCAGATGGAATACGCACCATAAGTTGTGAATTAATCATAGTATGAGAATGATATGTACCAAGAGTAGTAACACCTACAACATGATCGCCAACTTGAAAATTAGTTGTTTTAGGACCTACACGTACAATAGTACCAACAAAATCTGAACCTGGCTCTGTATCTCGATCAAGTTTTGGTTGATCTTCATCAGATTGTGCAAAAGTACGTGTATATGGATAAAGACCACGTGCTTTGAGTACATCACGAAAATTAATACCAACAAAATGAACACGAACTTCTATCATACCTGGTAATAAGTCTTTTTCTCTATCTTCTTCAATCCATGTTAATTCAGAAAGAAAACGAGATTGTGGTACACAAATACGAAATGGTCTTTGATCAGCATCTCGTTTAGGAATAATAGAAATTTGTTCTAGTTTAGATCTCTCTTCTTTATTATTATCATCATCAACAGATTTTTGCAGCATTTCAAAATGCCATTTTATATGTTTGACTTGATTTTCGTTCGTGTCAAGATGCAAAACAATTTCAGACGTATTATTTGAATATCGAGAATTCATCATATGTTGTATTAAAGCACGCGCAAATATTGGCTTGTTGATTGATGTCAGTGATGCTTGTAGATCAATCAGTTTTAATCGATGTCGTTCGTATTCAATCATCAAACTTCGCGCAAGCCCAATAATTGGTGATGTGATTAAATTGCAATCAGAACCGATATTGAGCTGTGCATGATGCGTGATAACAAACACAAATGGATGAAAATGAGGAGATTTTATATGAATTGTTTGAAGAATGAGAGATAGTGTACTGCACATAATCTCTTCATGTTGTTTGAATGCTAAATCACCGTCATCATCAAGTAATGCTTGTTCAAGTGGCCATGCAAAAACAATATACAATTGTGTATGTGTTG